TGTACTAAGTGAGAAAACTGAACTACTAAACTGGATTATGGACACATCACATTCATTATACACAGGAACCTAGTTTCGTTAAACAGCTAGACCAATAGATGTTCGCCTGTTTGCCTCTGTGTGCTGGCCGGTAAGATAAATACAATTCTTGGCTTACGGGCACATCACGTTGAAACACCGATTCCCGCATGATCACCAAAGTCAAGCAACGTCAAGCCTGGTCAGTACCAAGATGGGTGACCGCCTGCGAATACCAGGTACCGTGATATTGGATGTGCGGGTGGTGTAATAGATAATGGTTCGAATTTGTTAATCGTAGAGCATAGTTCCAAATCCCGTTGGCTTTGTTATACTTATTTACACGCAAATACACTTGTGAATGGTATGAATCTCTGAATGTTTCTCTCTGGGTTAAGTAGTAAGACCTATATCATCAAATTATTATTATCTCCACACCACAAAAATTCTTACAATCTAAAATATTGTCTGGCTTTACATAACCTTCAATGGGTTGATAAGCCGTAAAAAAACAATCAATTGTTTATCGTAGTCCTCGTACAACAACGTATTAAAATATATCTTCCCGTGATGCCATTATACTTATAAATTTAAAAGGTTATTTGAAATATTCGTCTTGTCGTAGAATATTTTATTGATATGGAAACGCTAAAAACGATTTTGTAGCGTTATGCTTGAAAGAGTGTTTTTTGGTGGTGCCATTTTATCATATTTTATTATATCGTCTCCATTGAAAATGTCAAGGATAATTAAAGTGCCTTTTTCCTATAGTCAGAAACCATGTACTTTAAAAGACGTTATTTTTGTCATAATTGTGTTGCTACAATTTCGTTAAGGAATACGCTCTCGAATGGTAGTTATATTGTCAAAAGTTGAAATAACAAGTAGAAAATAGGTCTCTCGTTGAAACATCATAATTATTATAAATAAATATCAATGGTTTTTTACTTGTATTTTTTAACTAACAAGCGGACTTTGAACTTTGCCAGAGTATCAGATGTTTAGAGAATAGCGTAATATAGTGCCTTTCCATGGGTCACCACGTGCCATAGTTATGTCTCTAAGTTTTTTTTTTCCAGTTTAGTTACTTCTGTGTATTGAAGACAGTGTAATAAGTAATTTTATTTTATCTATAAGTAAATCATATATATATATATATATATATATATATATATATAAATTATATATATGTAATACAAATTGGTAATTTGTAGGGATAATTTCAAGAAGGACATTAATCCAAAGAGATCTGAATGTAAGTAACAGAGAAATGTAATAATAATAAGTAAAGACAATCCTTAAAAACCCATTTCGGTTATAATTTATTTCACGAATAGATTTAAATATTTTTTATAAAAAAAACTTCGATCTGAATAGATGAATATTTATATATTCATGAAATAAATTATAACCGAAATGGATTTTTAAGGATAATCTTTACTTACATATATATATATATATATATATATATATATATATGTGTGTGTGTGTGTGTGTGTGTGTGTGTGTGTGTGTGTGTGTGTGTGTGTGTGTGTACTATTACAATTACTCTTTGATGTCGCTATATGCCCAAGGTGAGTATCATAAAGCAGGTGGTTTAGAGTAAGTATATATTTTGCTCATGAACTTTTGAATAGTATATTGCATATCTCTCTCTCTCTCTCTCTCTCTCTCTCTCTTTCTCTCTCTCTCTCTTCTGTGTGTGTATAATTCTTGAAGGAACTTATTTCCTTTTGAGAAGACCGTAATTTGCATAATGGTAAATGTGAAAAAACGAAGCGAATGAATCATCAATTGAAAGTGAGGCAAGAGGTTAACGCTAAGCACTTCTTTTTCCAAAGTAGATATTTAAGTCGACGACTCTTCATGTCCATCTCTTCATACTCTTGTCTATCAATTATCTTTCCGTCTTATAACATAACTATCAATTGCTGTATATTCTGATCTCTTTACATATTATTTATGTAATGGATAAAGATTAACTGCTCACCAACCAGCATCTATCTATCTATCTATCTATCTATCTATCTATCTATCTATCTATCTATCTATCTTTCTTTCTTTCTTTCTCAATTTTCCCGTTATCTATCTATCTACCTATCAATCTATCTCAATCTCTCGTTATATATCCTTTGTTTTCATTCTATCTATCTATCTATCTATCTATCTATCTATCTATCTATCTATCTATCTATTTCAATCTATCAATCGATCTATTTTTCTGTGTCTATCTCAATTTCTCGTTATCTATCTACCTACCTATCCATCAATCTATCTATAATCTCTCTCTCTATATATATATATATATGCACTCCTGTTTTCCTTCTATCTAGCTATATAGCCAGCTAGGTAGCTATCTCAGCTATCTCATATATATATATATATATATATATATATATATATATATATATATATATATATCTATCTATCTATCTATCTATCTATCTATCTATCTATCTATCCCAATGGGTCTGTAGCTGTCTATAAACCTACCGTATTTGACATTATAAAAGATGCCCGGGCATATTCGATACACTTTCATTTCAGCAGGGCATATTCAAGAAAAAAGCTTGAGTATATTTTAGTATGTCATTTTTAAAGCAATCTATCAGTATATTACGAAATATTACAAAAAGAAAAACTTTAGATGCTGCATCACTGTATATAAAATGTAAGCAAGCAATACAGTTTGACATAAAGCCAGAACATCGAAACAATAAAAATATCCAACATAATTACACTTATAAAATATTGCAAGTAAAACAAAACCTGATACATTTTAAAAAAATATGTTCCCAATACAGTTGAATATTAACCAAATTACAGTTTTACTCTTACCTGTATTTCGTTTCTGTTTCCTCTCTTTCTTCTATCGTTTCCATTTTGGATAATAATAGAAGCATTATGAAGCATATTGAAGTATAATGAATCACATTGTACCGACGAACATTGTCAATACTTTAAGATAATCCCTTTTACAGGACGGATAAAAACAACAATGACAACAACAACAGCAATAATAATAATAATAAATGTTCCGTTAGTACATTGGACTTGACTCTCATGGTTCCTTATCTTAATTGACTAGAGATGTTAACATGCCTCTCTCTCTTCATGGGTGATAGTAGTCGATAGGTATCATGGCCGGATGTCAAGATGGTTGACATTTTCTTTTTAAGTTTGAAGGCCGAAGAAGCTATGATAACTCAAGACTCTCATTTAGATACTTGGGACCATCGTCAATCGGGGGCCGTCTGAATAGGTCTACCTGAAAGTATTCCTAACTAGGCCACACCTGCAAAAATTATGCACTGATTTTATCAAAGCCTGACAAAAGTTTGCGCATCTTTGGGGGATATACATGCACCTTTTTTACCGGCTCTTACATAGACATTAGGTGTGATGATTATGTGATATACACGGCTTCTTATATTTGTACCCCGGTGTCGTTTTCTTGACATCCTGTTCTCTTACTCAATAATAATAATAATTTTTGAAAATGTTTGAGAAACTAAATAAATACAAGTACCTCGAAATAGAAATCAGTAGAATGTGGCGTCATTACTTGTTGCTATCAGGGCATTGTGGGAATGATATCATAAAGAAAAAGCTAGGAACAAATGTCTGGAAGCCCTAAGATGTTTGTACTGAAACTATAATACTTATGCTTACTTATCACATCTTGCGTAGATTTCACTCTATGCAGTGACCAGAATTACATTTTTTCTCCCCCTGATTGCATGGCCCCTCATCTGTTTGCATCTTCTGATACAAAAAAAAATTGTTGTCTCTTGAAATCTCTGGTAGAGACTTAAAAGCAAATCATACTGCACAATGGAAAGGTAAATAATAATAATAATAATAATAATTTCGTTTGAGTAAACAGTTATATTTAGGGCTCTTAGTTTGATTGGAAAAGGTTCTGACAGACTCACTCAAGGTATCCCTGATAGCCCATGTCTTAAAGAAATTTTAATCTCACAACTCACACCTTATGAAGGGCTTTATTTACGTAAAAAGTTTGCGGTCTTATGTTGTTTTATTATTTTACTTTATTGTTTACAAGAATATTCAGCGGAAAATGTCATGATATCATGACTGACCTTAGGTTTCTGGTTGGGACACGGAATGAAATGACCATACAAAAAAAAATCAAAGGAAATAATAATAATAATAATAATAATAATAATAATAATAATGAATAATAACAACACACCAATAAGGTCTTTCCGCAGACTTGGTAGGTAGACAAAAAATCCGATGATGATAATAATATCAGTGGCTACAAAACCCGTACCCATCAGTTGAAAGCAGGGTTGAAACTGAAACTGAAGGTTTTATCCTTGCTGCACAGGACCAATGCTTGTTAACTAGAAATTATCAAGCACACATGCTAAAATATCTTGTTAGCCCAAAATACAGATTCTGTGATAAATATCCAGAAACAATTGATCATCTAGTATCAGGTTGCACGATATTGGCAGCCACTGAGTATAAAACCCAATGAGTGGGCCAATATCTGCACTGGAAAATATGTAACTTCTACGGGAAGGAAACTGAAAGAAAATGGTATGAACACCACCCAGACCCGGTTACGGAGATAGGACCTGTTACAATTCTATGGGACTGCACAATACACACTGACAGAACAATCAAAGCCAACCACCCAGACATTGTTATTAAAGACCACAAACAAAAAAAGTGCCTCCTTATTGATATGGCAGTCCATGCAGACTGCAATGTATCTTTGAAGATATTCAAAAATCTGTCAAAATGCAAGGACCTTGAAATAGAAATCTCAAAAATGTGGCAGATGGGAACATCAACAATCCCTGTTGTAGTTGGAGCCCTAGGATTGGTTGGAAAAGATTGCAGTAGACTAATTGAAGGGATTCCTGGAAGTCTATGCCTCAAGGAGATACAAAAAATTGTTCTGACAAGTGCAGCCCACACTTTGCGAAGGGCTTTATCTATGTAATTTTTTTTTTTTTTTTTTTTGTCAGTGGAAAGTGTCATGATGCCATTTCTAACCTTAGGTCCCTGGGCGGGACCCGGAAAGAAATGTGTAAACGCCAGAAATCAAAGAAAACAAAAACAACAACAACAATAATAATAATAATAATAATAATAATAATGTTTCAGTAAGCAATATTTAATCTCGCATTTTTATTAATCTGTAAAACAATAACACTACATGTCTGTTCGAAGCGAAATCAGTTGTGTATCAGTTTCTTTGATGGTTCTTCGGTAAAGTAGCTCATTGTAAGCAATTTTAAATGACAGTGATTATTTCCGAGGACTTGGCTTTGTATCAGGAAAAGATGCATATTTTAACTGTATGCCAGCATCACCTTTGGTTTTGGTTCCAGTTCTATGATATCCCTTATTTCTTACAGTTGAACCTCTCTGTTGGAAAAGTAGATCAATTCTCTTTTATATTAAAGAATGACACAGGAATATACAAGCGTACATACATATATTCACGCACACAAATGAAGTAGCAAGCAAAGGAATGGACCACGTATATAAAAAAATAAATAATTTTGCTTACTTTTCACTAAGAAGTTGTAAATATTCAACAAGGAACTTCCAGGAGTAGTCGAAAGAAAGACAGTTAAAATTTCTGGAACACAATGAGGAATGGGGGTTTAGAGAATCTGACACTCGCAAGACATAATGAAAGCAAAACGAGCAGAGGGAAGCAGTTAATAATCTCCTTAACTTTCATGCGGAAATGGATGGCATGACAGGAACAGGAAGAGATAGTAAGGAGTAAATACTGAGAGAGGATTTCCTGGAGAGCCATGATCGCCCACTTCCTGAATGGACACGGCACATATAAGTAGAACGAGTTTGTGTGAATGGTTGAAAGAATTAGGAGTGATTGCAAAACTTTACTGGGAACTGCAATGCACGGGAACTTGTGGAGAGTCATGATCACATACATTCTGATGAGATACAACACGTAACAGAAAAAGAAATAGTATTATTATGGAGCTCGGCTGGGTAGAAATAACGGTTTAAGGTAAAACAAAATTAGCCATCACACACGCAAAGTATCGTCACCTTCACAACGACAGAAACTGCTCTTATCACTAAACGCGACAGACCGTTATTCGATCAGCCAGGTGACATTCTCATGACACTACATGACGCGTATATGAAAGTGTTAACTGGTGGTATATCTGGAAGTATGCGTGACCATAATCCTGTTGCAAGTAAGTGAATCCCAACAGTGTTGACACTCTTGGAGCAACATCTCTTCTGGTCTGTGTTGTAGGCTTTAGCTTTCTTTACAATGCCTCGTCCTTGGCGAGCACATGGGTATCATTTAACAACATTAAGGAACACATTCAGCATTGCATAATATAAGGCTTACGGCCATATCACGTTGATCACCGAAGTTAAGCAACGTCGCCCCTGGTCAGTAACTAGATGGGTGACCTCTTGGGAATACCAGGTGCTGTAAGCTTAGGTGTGCGGTTGGTGTAATGTATAATGGCTCGGAATTGGTAATCGGAGAGCCGAGTTCCAATTTCAGTTAGGTTCGATATATTCGCTTACTTTAGGTTCGACATATTGCTTTCCTTTGGAAATGATATGAATCCACTTCTTCTCTCTCTCCACCGGCTTACAAAACATTTATTACTAAAAACCATTATTATCTTTCAAAAGCAAAAATTCTTAAATTCTCTAATCGGTTAATTAATAAGAATTGTATCAATAAATCATTATTATCTCCTCTCACCACCACCCCACAAAAATTTCCTACAATTAAAAAATATTTTCTGTTTTTAAATAAACTGAATAAAGTTGATAAGCCGAATCAGTGGAAGAGCATAATATAGGTTTCTTTAATGGAGAAAACTGTCAAATGTTTATAAGGAAAACTAGCAAAATTTTAAAAAGGGAACAAATAAACAAATACGTTCCTTTGCAAATAATGCATAGTCTCTGATGGAGAATAAGAATCACAACATCCTGACAATGTGTTTCAATTTATTCAAGATTATATGTACAAAGATGGATCGCAGTAAATGCTAATATCTACAAATCAATACGTTCACATAAAAGGTCCAAAAGAAAAAGTATATCAACGACAATCAGAACCTATATCAATACACTGTTTATCCTCTTTGGGTATTAATACAGACTTTATTATGTTTATCCCTTATGTTTATCCCTTATTATGTTTATCCCTTATTATGTTTATCCCTTACTAATCTTCCGTTGGTGCAAATTCGGTTTTAGAAAGTTTTTCAGTGCTTCATCCTGAAGCACCCATTTGAGCTGATCGTTCTGAAGCACCCAGTTGAGCTGATCGTTCTGAAGCACCCAGTTGAGCTGATCGTTCTGAAGCACCCAATTGAACTGATCGTTCTGAAGCACCCAGTTGAGCTGATCGTTCTGAAGCACCCAGTTGATCGTTCTGAAGCACCCAGTTGAACTGATCGTTCTGAAGCACCCTGAAAGCACCCAGTTGAGCTGATCGTTCTGAAGCACCCAATTGAACTGATCGATCGTTCTGAAGCACCCAGTTGAGCTGATCGTTCTGAAGCACCCAATTGAACTGATCGTTCTGAAGCACCCAGTTGAGCTGATCGTTCTGAAGCACCCAGTTGAGCTGATCGTTCTGAAGCACCCAGTTGAACTGATCGTTCTGAAGCACCCAATTGAACTGATCGTTCTGAAGCACCCAGTTGAGCTGATCGTTCTGAAGCACCCAATTGAACTGATCGTTCTGTTGAACTGATCGTTCTGAAGCACCCAATTGAGCTGATCGTTCTGAAGCACCCAATTGAACTGATCGTTCTGATCACCCAGTTGAGCTGATCGTTCTGAAGCACCCAATTGAACTGATCGTTCTGAAGCACCCAATTGAACTGATCGTTCTTAAATGAACTGATCCAACCTAATGAACTGATCGTTCTGAAGACTTGAAGCACACCTAATGAACCGTCCTGATCGTCCTGAAGCACCCAATTGAGCTGATCGTTCTGAAGCACCCATTTGAGCTGATCGTTCTGAAGCACCCAGTTGAGCTGATCGTTTTGGAAGCACCCAATTGAACTGATCGTTCCGATTTGAGCGATCGTTCTGAAGCACCCAGTTGAGCTGATCGTTCTGAAGCACCCAGTTGAGCTGATCGTTCTGAAGCACCCAGTTGAGCTGATCGTTCTGAAGCACCCAATTGAACTGATCGTTCTGAAGCACCCAGTTGAGCTGATCGTTCTGAAGCACCCAGTTGAGCTGATCGTTCTGAAGCACCCAGTTGAACTGATCGTTCTGAAGCACCCAATTGAACTGATCGTTCTGAAGCACCCAGTTGAGCTGATCGTTCTGAAGCACCCAATTGAACTCGTTCTGAAGCACCCAGTTGAGCTGATCGTTCCACCCAGTTGAGCTGATCGTTCTGAAGCACCCAGTTGAGCTGATCGTTCTGAAGCACCCAATTGAACTGATCGTTCTGAAGCACCCATTTGAGCTGATCGTTCTGAAGCACCCAGTTGAGCTGATCGTTCTGAAGCACCCAGTTGAGCTGATCGTTCTGAAGCACCCAATTGAACTGATCGTTCTGAAGCACCCATTTGAGCTGATCGTTCTGAAGCACCCAGTTGAGCTGATCGTTCTGAACTGATCGTTCTGAAGCACCCAATTGAACTGATCGTTCTGAAGCACCCAGTTGAGCTGATCGTTCTGAAGCACCCAATTGAACTGATCGTTCTGAAGCACCCAATTGAACTGATCGTTCTGAAGCACCCAGTTGAGCTGATCGTTCTGAAGCACCCAATTGAACTGATCGTTCTGAAGCACCCAGTTGAGCTGATCGTTCTGAAGCACCCAATTGAACTGATCGTTGAACTGAACTGATCGTTCTGCACCCAATGAACTGATCGTTCTTAAGCACCTAATGAACTGATCGTCCTGAAGCACCTAATTTAGCCGATCGACTTGAAGCACCTAATTGAGTTGATCATTCTGAAGCTGATCCTGTCTAACTGAGCTGATCGTCCTGAAGTACCCAATTGAGCTGATCGTTCTGAAGCACCCATTTGAGCTGATCGTTCTGAACTTGATGATCGTTCTGAAGCACCCAATTGAACTGATCGTTCTGAAGCACCCATTTGAGCTGATCGTTCTGAAGCACCCAGTTGAGCTGATCGTTCTGAAGCACCCAGTTGAGCTGATCGTTCTGAAGCACCCAGTTGAGCTGATCGTTCTGAAGCACCCAATTGAACTGATCGTTCTGAAGCACCCAGTTGAGCTGATCGTTCTGAAGCACCCAGTTGAGCTGATCGTTCTGAAGCACCCAGTTGAACTGATCGTTCTGAAGCACCCAATTGAACTGATCGTTCTGAAGCACCCAGTTGAGCTGATCGTTCTGAAGCACCCAATTGAACTGATCGTTCTGAAGCACCCAGTTGAGCTGATCGTTCTGAAGCACCCAATTGAACTGATCGTTCTGAAGCACCCAGTTGAGCTGATCGTTCTGAAGCACCCAGTTGAGCTGATCGTTCTGAAGCACCCAGTTGAACTGATCGTTCTGAAGCACCCAATTGAACTGATCGTTCTGAAGCACCCAGTTGAGCTGATCGTTCTGAAGCACCCAATTGAACTGATCGTTCTGAAGCACCCAATTGAACTGATCGTTCTGAAGCACCCAGTTGAGCTGATCGTTCTGAAGCACCCAATTGAACTGATCGTTCTGAAGCACCCAGTTGAGCTGATCGTTCTGAAGCACCCAATTGAACTGATCGTTCTGAAGCACCCAATTGAACTAATCGTTCTTAAGCACCCAATGAACTGATCGTTCTTAAGCACCTAATGAACTGATCGTCCTGAAGCACCTAATTTAGCCGATCGACTTGAAGCACCTAATTGAGTTGATCATTCTGAAGCACCCAAGTGAGCCGACCGTCCTGAAGCATCTAACTGAGCTGATCGTCCTGAAGTACCCAATTGAGCCGATCGTCCTGAACCACCCAAATGAGCTGATCGTTTGATTGCCATAAAGAATCTATTTCTCGTCACAAATCACTATTCGATCAAGAAATGGATCATTCGAATTTCGTAGATGCAACGACGAATTCACTTCGAAGCGTCGAACTCTAACTTTCTCGGAATTCATGCGCAACCCATTTATCGAGTTTCTTTACTTTGCCAATCATTTCTATGGCACTTGGACGTGGGTTTTGTTCGACTTGTGTTTTCAGGCGTTGATTGTCAATTGCAGGTGGACATCCACCATCTTGATCTTCAAGAATCGTATCCCCATTGCTGAAAATCAGAAACCAGCTACGTACTGCGTGATCACAAGTGAACCCTTCACCCCATGCTCTGTTAAATGCTGGCAGCAGTTCCAGAAGCATTATGGACAAGCTTGAACTTATGCAAAAAGTATACACATCTCTTCTTTTTTCCTGTTTAAGCGGGGAGGTATATAATGTTTTAATTTAAATGTTAAAAGAGATTGATATGAAATTAGCAAAGTGGACACCTGAATCATTAAGAATGAGTAATATATTTTTGTGCAACTATTATAATAATATATTAGAACACAGAAGGTTTATTTTAAAATCGGACATTATTTTTCGAACAACCTAATATCTATATTATAGAGTTATGATCGGTACAAATATTGGTAATCTCCGCTAACAAATACTTCAACTTTACATAGACTTCCGGGAAATATTTTTTAGTCATTTTAGGCTAAAAAAAAAAAATGGAACATCTTTTATGAAACCAAATAGGATATTTACTTTACATCTAAACAGGAAGCAGACCAGTTTCTCATTTGCGCGCATCATCCCGTACAAAATGTTGAAACAACGTTTCCAAAATGGTATAAAATATTGAAAGCGAATATTTTAAAATAGCGATCAAATAAGAATATAAATGGCGCTGAATTCTGAACCACATCTAGTCGGTTAGGGAAAAGAAGATGGCAAAAAAGCAAACTAAATAAAAATAAATAGTCATTAAAATAAAAGGCCCATTACTAACCGGTAACATTACCAAATCCACAGAACAAATTATAATAAAAATTCAGTATATTATTCTTATGACTCTACCTACATACCACAAAGAGTATAAAGAAATAAACACAAATACATATGAAAGACCGCTACGGGAAGGAATTTTTCCCCTATTTTCTGATCTGAACAAATATCCTGATCACTTAAAACGCGATATAAACAACGACTAGTATACTGTTTATATTATTTTTAATTTTATATACGATTTGTAATTTTACACGAGTAAAATTAACTACTTGCGGAAAAAGCACGTTAAGCGATTTACCCGCCACGTAAGAACACAAAATTGTCAGAAAACATTCAACGACATCGAATAAGCGATTTTTTTTTCAGTTACTACAATTTGAAAAATCTATTGACTGAATTTAAAAAAAAAAACAAAAAAAAAAAAACATCTCAGGTCAAATTCCGCCGATTCAAATAAAAGAAACCATGAAGTTGACCGGAAGGTCATCGCTTCTGGTTGAATCGCCTGGTTAAGCCTAGCCACGTGATGTTTGTAAAATCTCGAAACCCCTAATGACAACAGGAGTAAACATCACTGGTGTAGCTTTCAGACGAACAATAAAGATTGTTTGAAATATGTATCGTCATTCAATTAAGACACTGAAGATCTTTCTTTTTTTTTTTTTTTTCAAATTCTGAGCAAAGTGCTGCAAAAAAGGTCTTCTTTTGATAGTGCTTTGCTATTTTATAAGAATTCGACTGATTCCTTTAGAGAAGGGCACTCTGAAGTTATCTAAAATCAAAATTCCTATACTTGAAATTAATTTGTAAGAATTAATTGATTAAAATATCATTTGTGCCAAACTAGAAACTCGTTTTAAACGATGCCTAGAGTTTTAACCGTTTACTTTTTAGGGTTAAAACCAGAACAATATTCAGACATATTTCAATATTGAAATAATACAAAATAAAATCATTTAAATAACAGATAAATACATATCAAAACGTAAAATATATTTTTTTCTCCAGAGTTATTTTTATGGTATTTTGAAAAATTAAGAATAATAATGTTTTTGAGCGGACATATTTTAATAAATAAGTCATACGAATCACTTTGTTTTTTCATCTTAATTCTCAGAACATGTATAAATACACACACACATCTCAAACTTTGGTATGGGTTAAAATTAACGTAACGCAAGAAATCATAGCGACTTGATTTTATTCATTCAGGCAGTAATCCGTTCCAGATGTGACATTAAAGTGTACGCCATGATGGCCACACTTAGAAGGAACATGGCACATAAAAGAAGATGCTGAAACAATAATTTGATTGATTTGTTTTGTTTTTTACGGCTTACCAACCCTTTGTCAACTATTTAAGCACGAAGCATATTTCGGATTTTAGGTGGTTGTCTATAGTACCCGGTGTGATAATTTATGAATTAAATTTTTTTTTTTTTTTTTTGATTAAATGACCTAAAAATATCCCCGAAAAACCCTATGCACTAAAAATACTTACGTATTTAAACATGATGTTTGTTACGTATTTAAACATGATGTTTGTTTCGTTTGTAATGTATTTATAAACGGACGGCAAACTGATTAAGACTTTTTGGTAATAAATATTTTTGGTATAATATATAAAAAATGTTTTTATTTCTTAATATTTGTGCAGACAGGTTCAAATTTTTCATAATTAGTTGGCTAAACCTCCAAAATGGTAGCAAATATAAAATGTGACAAGGATATAAGAGAGAATGTAAAAGATTGTTTGTCTTTTAACAAAAGATAACAAGAATTCAATCTAAGAAAAATTATATTTTATATTTTCCTCTTCCTGTAGGATTTCTTTTGAATTTGATTTCATCAGACCTTCTTTTTACAAGAAACGGTTACCTGTTAGACTTGGTGGAAAATATCAAAATGAAAATTATCGTTTTTTTTTTTTCATTAAGAGAAAGTTCAAACAATTTTAATGTTCGGTATATCTAAATTTTCTTGGTTGAGTAATGTCAGTTTTCATTTTTTCCCCACAAAATGAATAAGTATGTCTCTTGTCCCTTTCTTGCACTGAATTTGCGCCTGGTGTTTAACACTAAGAAGGCTTTTTCGTCCAGTGTTCCTTTCTCTCTATCGTTTATTCTTTTATATGCCAGTGTGAATCCGGTTACATTGCAGAGCTTTAGATGTAGGATTAAACGACATGTTCCTTTATGGATTAGGAATGACGTCATACTACAACACTGACACATACCCAGAACATTTCGGATTAGCGATTGGCTAACAGCTCAGAGATAATTCTATTTGTGCAAACACTTTTTCAAACGACCATTTCAACATTCCAAGGGTTCAACGGTCGTCTTTCATTCGAAGATTCTCGAATATTTTTTTTATTTATAATTGACAACCGTGTCTTTGTAAGCCAAAAAGATTTTTCTCTATTCCCTAAAACTATAATGTAATACTTAATTTGACCTATTGTCTTTCCGTTTTTTTTACTAGATGACAAATAAAGATCACTTTTAGAGCGTTTTAATGCATTTCTATTGTTTCCTTTTAGTTTTTTTTTTAAATCTTTTAAATTTATCAACAATCCACTTTGCTAAGAATTAATCTAAAAGCTGGCTTCTTAAGAGGATTTACAACACCTCTGTCTTTTGGTAGTAATTTTTCAAAATGTCTTCCCTTCTTCATGCTCGTTTTGTACCAAGTAATTAATCATATTTGATATTTTCTTCTCTTTCATTTTCACTATTAATGATATTAACAATAATAAATATTCATTATATATTTCGGCACAATTCACGAGTTGCAGCCATTCTGAATTCTGGAGTTGTTGTTGACATTTAATATCTTTAGGACTGTTGACTTCATATTTATTTATTTATTCACAATGTTTCTCATTCGTCTGTTCTCAGGTGACTGTGTTCTTCAGAGTAGTATTTTCCTCTTCTTTTTCGCTTCTAACAAGTCTGGTGTTATGGGGTGTTGCTAAGACATTTTTCTGGGTCACTCGGTTTGGTTAAGAAATGACTATCACATGGCGTTACAACTTTTGATACGAGGATTACGTGTCGACTACATTCAACTACTCTATTGTTATAAGTTCCTTTCTTATCAATGTGGCTTTATGCCTACCAATGTAATCTAAATCCAGCTGGTGGGTGGGTAATGTTCGTCTTCTTGCCGTTCTCCTACTTTCGTATGTATAAGTGAATTATAATATCATAGATTGGCCATTGTTTCAGTTGGGGATCTTATGTCCTCATACATTCTCTGTATTTTCTTTCACTACTATACAACAGTTTCTTCTACACCTTCTGTAACTCATTTTACTACTATTACTACTACTACTGCTACTACCATTATTATTATTACAATAACAATAATGATAATGTTCATAGCATTTCTGTCGTAAGTTTGGCTTCAATGTAAAAGAGAAGTGGTATAAACATCAACTAAAGGTAGTTGTAGAAGATAACAGTCACGAGATATGGGAATTTCTCAGTCCAGACACATTCATTATTCCGTCTGACTATATTATACATCAGAAAAAGTAAAAACATAGATAAATCTCATCATCTTACAAGAGAACTGAGACAGTTTTGTAACATGAAAGGTGACAGTCGTGCCAAACATACTAAGGAAACTAGGAGCAGTTCCGAAGAGCCTAGAAAAAAGCTGGAAGAACTCGAAACTAGGTGAGACGTCAGGACGCCCTAAATGACGGCACTGTTGAAAACAGTCACATTTAGATTATCGGGAACGCCCTCAATCGGAGATCGACTGATTTGTCTGGGTTACTTGACATGAAGGTAACTCTAAGTGAATTGTCCCCTGAAAAGTTTTGAACTGCTTTTATCAAAACCTGTCTCTATATGGGAGAATAGATTCATGCCTTTCCCAAGGGAATTTGTGTGAAAGTGAATGCAACATACTATGCCGAATCTTGAACTCACCTCGCCGATTACACTTTTCGTACCAGTAACCGTTACACATTTGTACAACGATTACATCTGGTCTCCGCGATTGAATTCGGCGACCAACTTCAGTGCCGCTTTTACAAAAAAAAATTAATTTGTTGCATCCATTAACATGGCTGATGCTAACCTCCAGGAGAGTGTGTCATTCTCGGACTAATGTTTTCCGCTGACATAAAGTGGAAAAATTATATTGAATCAATTGCTAGGTCTGCTGCTAGGAAAAATGGTTCACTGTGTTGTGCAAGACAATTTTTCCCGTTAGAATCTATTTTATATATTTATAAGTTTACCATTCGTTCATGTGCTGAATACTGCTGTCACATTCAGCTTGCTTCTTCTTTTATGTATTTAGAGATTCTTGATAAAATTCAAAGAAAAATCTGCAATGTTATTGGTCCTGATCTGGCATCTCAGCTTCAGTCACTTTCTCACTACCATAACGTAGCTTCGCTTTGCCTTTTCTATAAATATTTTCATAGTAATTGTTCTGATGAACTTCCCTCTTTGGTAGCTAGATTTTACGAATTTAAGAGCTGTACGAGATTGGCATCTAAGTCTCATCATTTTAAAGTTGAAATCGCAAATTCTATACTAACAGTTTCTTCTCTTGCACTTTTTTCTTGTGAAACTCTCGTCCGACTTCTTGCTTCCCAATCAACGTTGATCTTCAAACATTTAAATGCAACGTCAATCGTTATCTTCTGTCTTTTGAATTCCTGTTCTTTTATTGTTCTCTCCCCTTAATAATGTGTTTACCATTTTTCGCATTTTTTTCACATCCTTGCGTCTTAGTGGTTTTAATGCCTTGCCTGGGGTGAAATGACTGAAAAAAACATATAATAAATAAATTTAAAAAAGAAAGATACGTAAGTTTTATTTTTCGCGACGAAAAGCATTCTTTTGCAGGTCTTTCTCATAGGATGTAACCGGTATTTGCCTTAAGTGGGTGATAAATTGCATCTTGAAAGTACATTTATATATCACCATCATCGTCGTTGTCACCGTATTATCATAATTAATATTATGACTCTATTCATTGTGTCTTCACAACAGGAATATCTGCTGGTTATGACTGGATTTCATGTCTCCTCACTAATTTAACGCTATTTTTCGTATTCTTCGTCATAATCTCAACATAATACCATTGGAAATTGACAGTGCTTCACAATTAATCCTACCTTAGAGCAACGAATTTGGAGATCTGATTAAGGACTAGACCATAAGGCGAACAAGTATTCACTGGGAAGAGTTTTAATTTATAGATTATCCATATCAACAATTTTTATGAACTGAGTCTTTTCCTTTTCAACTTTTCTTCTCTTTATCCTTTCTCTCGCACCATTTGTAGATTTGTTAGTATCGGTTTGGGCCAACATAGAATCACATGGTTGAAAGGAAGATTGTGTTACATCATAACAAAAATGCAAAAAGCATTTCTGCTTTGAAAATCAGCATTCAAAAATTAGAATGTTACCTCAGTTTAACTATCGACTAGTTATCGGTTTTATTTCCCATTTTCAGCAAAGATTTTACATGAATAAATACATACACATGTCCATGTAATACTATATTCTCTGAGTAAGCCCAAATCTGTTTAATTTTTTAATATGTGATTTTGTCCCACTTCTTTTTTATTTCGCGTCTCGTTGAAAAAGGCCACAGGCATGTCCGAAAATTACGATTTTAAAATCTTTCTCTTCGCGCTTCAATTTAGTCAAAATGTCTACTAATACATTATAAATATCATCAATCTTATTGCCAATATTGTTATCATTTCGTTGGCTTTTTATTCCTCAAATTTCTTTAATAGGCCTATAAAATCTATATATTATACGAAGCACACATAGACAATCTTTCATTTTAATTATATATATATATATATATATATATATATATATATGTGTGTGTGTGTGTGTGTGTGTGTGTGTGTGTGTGTGTGTGTGTGTGTGTGAACAAGGCCAGCACGCTCAAACCCTCGATCACGATGACATGTGACTTGCTGCTAGCCCAGCGATCGAGTGTTCCCAAATAGTTCCGTCTACCCAATGATATGGTTTTTCAGGCACCTTTCCAAAGGTGCTGCACGCTAGGATCGCCTCTCCAAGACAGATAACATCAAGAAGTCACCTTCCTGACAAATCAACCATGGTGACATTCAAACCCAGGACGAATGGTCACACACACACGCATATATATATATATATATATATATATATATATATATATATATATATATATTATTTTATAAAATCAAACTGGCCAATTAAGTATTTATCAAACACGATCATATAAATAGAACGTGCTCAGTGGAAATTCAAATAACGAAAAACAGAGAGCAATTTAAGGCATGAAATTTTACAGGGAAACCAAAATTTCCGGTATCGCGGCTTCACCACCTACAGTTATATATATATATATATATATATATATATATATATATATATATATATATATATAACATAGATAGATAGATAGATAGATAGATAGATAGATAGATAGATAGATAAGAATCATGGTTGTAGTGCTAACAGTAATTGCTGTGGTGTGTACTGAATGTACTTCACTCCTGTCAGTGACATTTAGTTACAAGTGTCCACCAGTATTTTTAGACATGTTGATAGCGGCATGACGCTTGCCACTCACCGTCAGTCAGCACCGTTCCCATCTCTGTGTACTTCTTTCAAACCAATCATACCTGCTTCATCATCTCCCCACAATTACATACCTTTCCCTCCTCTTCCCTTTTCCTCACTTCCCCCCTTGCCCTCTCTTTTTGCCTTTGTCTCAACCTTTCTGTTCTCCTCTGTTATTTTCCGTTACATCACCTCACACTGCACCTCATGACCTGTTTCCTACAGACGCCATCTTTGAAGGTCACGTGATTTTTTTTTCTAACGTATTCCCACAATTCCTATCATAATAATAATGCCGTGTAACCACCTCCACATTAGTATGGGTTTAAGCCTGAGAATCTCCTATAGGACAGAAGCCTCGCTCTGTATATATATATATATATATATATATATATATATATATATATATATATATATATACGTGTGTGTGTTGTTTTTGTTTTTATGCGTTTTAATCATTTCACCCCCAAGTAAGGCAATAAAACCACTAAAATGCAAGGAGTTACTGAGTGTGAGAGAATATGAAAAAGAAAACATTGAAGAGTGAGAACAATAAAAGAACAGGAATTAAGAAGACAGATAATAACAATTGATATTGCATTTGAAGATCAAAGCTGACTGAAATGCAAAAAGCCGGAAGAGAGTTCCACAAGCCAGAAGTGCGAGAGAAAAATCAGTTTATCTAGATATCCTTCTCGCTCTCTTTCTTTTCATATATATATAAGAACTAATGCGGCAGAAATTTATGGAAACAAGGATCTTTTCATTCATAACGGATTCGGAGGTTTTTGCATATTATTTGAATTGTTTGCGACGATGGATTTCTCGCCAATTAAATCATTAACCTTTGCATTTGTTTTTGTGTGAATAATTCATGAATTTGTAAATTGATTGCACGTTTATCGAAATTAAAATAACTGATACAAGTGCGATTTTGGATAATAAGTGCGACATTACTGTAATTATTGAACAATATAGTTCATGCCACTTTGACAGAAAATTTACCAGTAAAAAATTCGTTCATCACCATATTTGTACATGAACGCACAACTGTAAAAATTTAAAATCAAACTCAGCGTTGCTATTGCACGCTCCCAAAACAATAACTCATTTCCAATAGCATTTTCGGATACAACAATACATATATTTTCGTTGTCCTCTTATTACTAAGAGAAAAAACAAGAACAACATCTATTCCATACCTGAAGATGTCTGTAGGAACAGACGAAAGCTTGTAGTAAAAATAAGAACTAATGCGCCAGAAATTTATGGAAACAAGGATCTTTTCATTCATAACGGATTCGGAGGTTTTTGTATATTATTTGAATTGTTTGCGACGATGGATTTCTCGCCAATTAAATCATTAACCTTTGCATTTGTTTTTGTGTGAATAATTCATGAATATATATATATATATATAGTTATGAAGTTTAGCAAGATTGTAAGGTTAATTCCTTAATATGTTTGCAATTTACCGTATATATATATATATATATATATATATGGGGTTAGCAATACCACCCCGAAAAAAACTACATGCTACAGAAACCACAGTTGCAATACTTAGTTTGGTGAGGCTGCAACCCTATCATTCCCAGTGGAGTCTACAATTTATACGATCAAAATATGATTTGGGTTTCAGATATCTCTTTTCATTTAAAGTATTGATAAGATATATTTTTGTAGTTTCAGATTCGATCATGAAAGTAAAAATAATGTGTCGTATATAGTTTTATTTAACCCAAAAGAAAGCGGTAAAAATAATATATATATAAAAATAATATATATATATATATACAGCTAAAATTTCGTAACGTATTGTAGTGAATTTCAAAGACAATATTTCCATGTTTGTATTTATTTAACAACATAATTGCCATTTTCTTCCACTGTCTCTTGCCATTTTTAAGGCTGCTTCCTGATTTTATCCTCACAGAACTTGGCGTCTTTCTGAGTGGTGAACTGGTCTACGAGGTTTTTGCAGGCTTCAAAAAATTGAAATTCTTCCCATTGAAAGCATTTTGTACGGATCGAAATAAGCGCGAAATTCGAAGGTACAAGATCAGGTGAGTACGGCGAGACATCCCAATTAAGCTGAACCAATTTCTAATGGATTTGGCACAAGACGTGAAGTCTGGCGTGGTTCTGATAAAAGACGACACCCATCTGACTAATACCGGACGATTTTCATCGATTGCCATTAATCGATCCAAATAGAATAGAATTCAACGTTAGATTTTTCGAAAGGAGCTTTGAATACACAATACGCTTACGATCCTAGCAGATACGCTCCACCACATTCTTCGAATTAATACCTTAGACTGTTAACTGTCGCTCATTTTGTTTTGTACGGAAATTTTTGTCCACATTGTTGTAAACTATTCATTTTTCATCGCTTGCAACTCTTCTTTTTCAAATGTGTTTTTTTTTTGCGTTTGAACAGAAAAACACAGATGGAAAAGCGAGCAACGTTTTACAGTTAAATCGTGAGACACCAAAATATCGTAGCGATTCTCGTCTCCAAATGTTTTCAAATGCCCTATAAATTTCATATAAGATATGTAGAGAATGTCTGCGATGTTCCGGGTCGTATGACCTGGATTATTTGAATCAGCGTTTTGATTTGGTCATCATCAGCGACTGCAAGATCTTTGATGTCAAAATTTTCATTTCCGAACCCAGCAAACTACTTACGAAGTGTATCCTCAGCTACGACACCATCCCTACAAACGGCACTTGTCTTTTTTTGCTATCTGTACGTCATTTTTTCCTTTCCAGAAATAAAAGAGTATCAAACGACGAAAATATATCTCATTTTCCTCAATTTTTACTTCTTTTGTACCGTCAGATACGGCACCATCCCTACAAACGACACCTATTTTTTTGCTGTATGTACATCGTTTTTCCTTTCACGAAATAAAAGAGCTTCAAATGACGAAAATGTATCTCGTTTTCTTCAATTTTCACTTTTAAAATAGAAACATTTAAAATTCTCAATCTACATATGAATCTATAAAAAGATGTATTAGAATGCTCCCATTCATAAAATGCATATATGTCATAAATTTCTAGTTTCGTGTGAAACGAAATCACGTGTCCAAACGCTACAAGTTGAAAAAGGCTACGAATACCCAGTATAGATGATTAATACAATATCACACGTCTGAATAAGTTATTATTTCGCATGTTAATATTGGCTTTTTGATATTCATCAGTCTTTCAATCATTGATTTTGTTAGCTTTTCTACTGTTTCAGCTTTAATATTACTTGTAGGATATTTTTTTTGTTCGGTGCACTTCCAGAGATCTCCTTTGATTGAATATTGTTTTCCATTCTCATAGATTTCTCTTTTAATGATGAAGTAAAAATGTTCTACAGCATCTTGAGATGCTGGGAGGCATTCCATTAATAGGATGTCGTTGAAAACTTCTTTTTAATTTTTCTTTTCATTTTTTTTTTTTTTTTGAAAGTGGGTTATAGCATTGCAGTATGTAAAAGAGTATTGTCTTTCCCGAACATAGGCGTTGTAGCTTAATACTTCTTGATTATAACCCTGCACCTCTCAAAAGTATCTTGTCCAAGAACTTACAATAGTTTTCTTTACATTTATCTTGACAGCCCCATCAATTCTGAAGAAGCCTATAATGTTTCTGTGTACTGTTCATTTAGTCATTCAGTTAGCGCATTTTGCGCCGCTATGATCACCACTCCCCCCACCAAGCCACCTCCCCTCACACACTCATATATATATATATATATATATATATATACGTACATCATATATATATATATATATATATATATATATATATATATATATATATATATATAATATATATATATATATATATAAAAGATATAGGCTGCGATATATATATATATATATATATATATGTATAATATATATAGGCTAAAATTTACAAACTACATTTATCCTATAAATATAAGTAAATTATGAAGGTTTTATCAATATCGATTGGTTAATAATAATTGCATTGTGAAAGAATTGACTTGTACAATAGAATTTCACTGTTGATGGTGCTAAATTATACGCTTTCTCCTGGAAACTGTAACTAATGTCTGCTAAGCATAATTGCAGTATAAACCCTAGGTGGATTGTTCGTGTGCTGAAAAAAATACAAATGTACCTGGGCAGGCGTCTTTACAGTGTGGTGCGGCCAGAAAACAAACAGCCGGACATTATGCATTAAATTGGTTTTATTAAATTCATGTGTACCATATATAAATTTGAAATGCTTATAAAATAATGATAATGCATTTGAAATATCTAATATATTCCTTTTTATTAAGCTCTAGAAGAACGTTATACACATCATGATACGATAGACATATTTCTAAGTTTGAAACGTAATGTTCTAAAAATGCCAAGATGAAGCTAATAAAACATTTATCTGCGATATTGACAATAACGTTTCGTGTAATGCCCGAGAATGACAAAATTAATCGACAAAAACGAAACAGAAATATTGGAATATTTATCGACAGTATTGATCCAGATGTGTAACTTATTCGAAAATTATGAAAATACAAGAGCAAATTAACAGACAGACATTTGTGGCACCATGCATCCTGACGGTTTGAAAGAAATATTCATAGATATATGACTTGTTTTTACGGTTTATCAACCATTTAATAATTATTTAAGGCCGAAAAATATTTCGGGTTTTAAGAATAATTCTTTCTTTACGTTCAAGCGATCTGGAAGAAGGAAAGAGAAAACGAAGAAGAACGAAAGAAAAAATAATACGAAAACAGGTCATAGGCGAGCACACACACGCTCGGCTGACAGATAACAGGTGTCGAAAAATATCCAGGTCAAGCATCTAACCGAGATCTGGGGAAAATGGAAGTTGTTATCA